GATTTGATCTTCTGATTTTGGCCGGAGATTTGTGATCGGTGAACAATTTCCGGTGTGATATCAGCTGAATTCCGGTAAAGTGATAGCGGTTGGACCCGGTTCACGGGATAGAGACGGGAAATTAGTACCGGTCTCGGTTAAAGAAGGCGATACTGTTCTTCTTCCTGAATACGGCGGTACAGAAGTCAAACTCGGCGAGAAAGAGTACGTACACCGGATCCTTTAATTTAATGATATTTCATTAATTACCCCAATACTATTGATTTGATCCAAAAGAACCCCCACAGTGTCTAAAATCCCAAAATTCTTAATCGATTAGAATTTCTAAATTTATGTTGGTAATTTTGATGTAGGTATCATCTGTTTCGGGACGAAGACATCCTCGATACATTGCACGAGTAAAATGCAAAGGAAGTCTCTGAATCAGCTAGTGGGTTTCTTGGTGGCCTCGTTTGTGTTCAGGAGAATAATAATTTTCCAGTGACTCATTTCGATAAATGTTGTTGAATTGGCTTTTATAACTGTCTTTATCTTATGTCTAATCGTTTTCTTATGGTTCATTTTTTGTATTTAGTGCTATATATATATATATAAAAATATGTAAGTTTTAAAAACTCTACATGGCCGATTCCAAGGATTAAAACTTTAGTAACTACGACGAAGATTACAAAAAACGACAGAGCTTACTGCAACTTGCAAGTGTCACTAACTCTCAATCACGACATTCTTCCTTTTGAAAAATCTTCATTTCTCGACAAAAATTTTAGGCTTCCAATGATAACCACCAAAAGTAAAATCAATACACGTTTTTGAAAACATACTGAATTTTGAGATAAAATTTTTTTTCACTTGTATTGTGTGAGATGACTATTTAGACCGCTAAACAGCTAATCTATGCTTCTATATAACCTTAAACATACGAGTTTGTGATTAGTATTAGTGCCTTGTTGTCATGGTCATATTGCTCAACAGAAAATCTCCTAAAAAAATATTTCAAAATGGGATATACTAGTAGTTTACTAAATTTAGGAATCTTTTCAATCATCTAATAAAAAATTAAATATTGTCGCTGTTGCCAACGACTCTCTATCCATCTCAGTTTGCACATGCAACAGCAACACAGCCACAGGCTAATTGCTAGTAAAACTCTCACATTATTTTATTAGCTCCCTAATATTTCCCAAACAATGATGGCTAGTATTTAATTTTTTACTTTCAAATATTTCCTTATATAAATAAGTCACACAGTTACAACAAATTCCCACATACATACAGATTCAGCTTCAACATACTCATCAACATTGAATATATTTTTTCGGATGTCATCCATAAGTGGAGATCTAAATCTAAGTACCTCACAAGTCAACATTTAAATATGCTTAGAAAAATCATTGATTCAATCTACGAAATTATGAAGTTGCATTGTAGTATTAATAAGCAAGCAACCATGCTTAGAAAATTTTAATATTGTCATCAAAATAATTACACCCTAATTCCTTACCAAAACACGTGCCGTTTCAAGATTAGCTAAATAGAGCATGGAATCAACATTGCTTGTCGTGTTGGCTTTCTCTTCTGAGTTCTGAGTTGTTAATTTAATTTAATATTTTTACTTCATATTATTGATTTTTTAATACAACTCTTATTCGAATAATACTTAGATGATAAAGATGTTTTTAATTATTTTTAAAATACGTAGATGATAACGCTGTTCGGCAAATATTTGTTTCCAACGATAGATTATGTTTATAAAAAATCATAAAAATTGATACAAGGATTTCATGCAATATGATTTTAGACATTTAATAGTTGATTTTTTTCTTTTAGTTCAAAGAGATAATTCCAAATTGTAGATAGATAAAGTTTCATTGTAACGAGAAGATATACCATCATTGTAGAAAATATACGTTTACATACTGTATTATTATCTGTCCATAATACAAAACACTAGGATCGGACCCGCGGTCCACCTCGGAAGAATATTGGTTTACATACGTTGCGTTTAATATTGTGTGTGTTTTTTAGTAGAACGAATCGTGTAGTATACTTATAAGTATTCATAATAACGAATTGTAGAGAAAATGTAAAATTGTTTATAAATATACCCATCGTATTAATTACGATTTACAAAATAGAATTTTGTGTTTTAAAATTCTAAAATTAGACGATTCATGGGAATTAGAGCAGTCAAAATAGATCAAAAACCGCGGGTCGAGCCCACATCATCTCACTATGGGGCAGATTTGGGAAAATATATTAAACCCGCAAATAAGCGGGCCACATGGATTAATTCGCAGTGGATCATAGGTTTAATCGGTTTTCATCCGCGGGTTGGCGGATCAGCCCGCATATTAGTATTTATTGATAAAATTATAATTTATTCAACATGTGGTAATTTAAACAAACTTTTAATAGTATTTTTATTTTAGTAGTATTTTAAATTTTGGTTACTTTAAAATTATTTAAACAAAATCCATGGACAATCCCGCAAATCCGCATACATTCGGGGGACGGGTTTGTATTTCATATATGCTATTCGCGGATCGTGCGGACCGACTAACACAAGTCAAAATATTTTTTGTCTATCGCAAAACGGACTTAACGGGACGAATCAACTCGCTTTGACAGTTCTAATGGGAATATTGTTTAGTCATACAACAAAATGAAGTTTGGACATAGTAATAATAGAATATGTATCTTATTTGTTAGATGAGAGATTGAAAGATGAAGTATAATGATTAAAAATTAATTATTATTTTTCATGATTCACAAAATTTAATAAATACTTATCATCTTGTTGAATACTTCTAAAATCATATTCAAAAAATCTTTATAAATTGAAAATTAAACTTCTTTGGTAAGCTATAGGTATGAAAATATCATAATTTCGATTTAATCTAATTAAATTAAAATTAGTTACATGGATTTCATATCTATTTAATTTATACGACCAAAATAAAAATATCTATTTAATTTATACGACCAAAATAAAAATATCAGTTTAATTTATAAAACAGATGGGTTATTTATGATAAATTTTCTAGAAATCTTTAGAAGCAAATAAAATATCTTTCAATTAATGATAATTGGCTAAAATGAGCGAAATTAATGACAAAAACGTTGATTGTTATGGAATTAGTCCCAAAAATATATGAACAAATTTATTATACGTAATTAATGTATAATATTGTTCGGAATATGCTTTTATTATTAGTTACCATAAGTACAATCAGATTTTATTTGATTTCCATAAATATTTGATTTTATTTCGATTTTTCATTTTTAATTCGAATTTATATTCCAAAAAAATTCAAAGATCCGATTTCAGAATTTCGGGTCAATTTTCTGATTTTAACCCGACCCATTTTCATTTATACTTCTCTTTTAATAGTATAAAGATGACAAAAAAAAAATTGTTGAGTTCTTTGTTGGATATTTTCAGTATCTCACACAAGTAATCAAAAGTTAAACAAGGTCACAAGTCACAAGTCACAAACATCCCAAAAAATTAATTACATTAAATACCAAAAAAAAAAACGAATTACTTTTTAGTATATACTATTAGAATATGGAGATTTAGCTAAAACTGTTCTTTTTTTTTTTTTTTTTTTTGTCATCCGAAATTAATTAGAGCTCAAAAGAGCCATTCCTGAGGAATGTTGTTTACAAATGTGATATGAAGCGGTTCTGTACGAATTTTTCGTGCCAGATGATCCGCTTTTACATTAGCATTGCGAGAAATTAAAGATAAAGAGAAGGATGAGAATTCTTCCTTGTCGCTCTGGAATTCCTCCAAGTACACTGAAAACGCCGGCCATTCGGTTGGAGAAGACACCATCTTCACCAGATCAGAACAGTCTGTAAGGAACTCTACCTCTTGATTATCTGCACCAATCATACACTTCATCGCCCAGAGAAGGGCCTCGAACTCGGTATGTAATGGAGATAAACTTCGACGGAGATTTGCAGCTCCCATGGTTGGCGGCTCTCTGTTTGATGATGTACAGAACCATCCTGTACCGGAGAACTTATCACTTTCTTTCCACGATCCATCTACAAAGCAACGGTATCCAAAATAATTCGAGTCAAGTGAAGTATTCCCCACTCGAGAACGATTAACCAATTCCGCAGTACCATGAGTTTCATGATGAAGCTCAATTTGGGCTGACTGCCACAATTGTGCTTCTTTTTCCGCTAACCGTAATACCTCTAACGGATCTTTATCAATGTTTTCAAATATTTTTTCATTCCTTGCTTTCCATATATACCAGATAATCCATGGAAAGGCTGAAGAGTCAAATTCCGAAGGTACTCTCCAAAATAAATGGTCCAAATTTGCAAAAATAGACTCCGTTGGAAAAATTCCTATGGCTGTAGGAATCTGAGAGAGTGCCCAAACCTGTCGTGCCGGGTGGCACTGAAAGAGTGTATGATTGATTGTTTCCACTAGTTCGCCACATCTAGCACAACCAATATCACAATCAATTCCCCTTCTCCGCAAATTTTCCGTAACTGGTACATAACCCGTTAAAATTTGCCATAAGAAATGACGTATCTTAGGTGGACAATGCACTTGCCAAGAATGTGCTTTTAACAGTTTGATGTCTGGTCCAATCAATGACAATTTTATCTCCGAATTTCCTAACCGTGCGGTATGATATCCCGATTTGACTGTATATTTTCCGGATTTTGTAAAATGCCAACCTAGTGTATCCTCCTTAGTTGGTGCACCCACAGGTAGGGCACTTATGATGGCGATATCTTCTGGATCAAAGATCTCTTCTAAGAGAGCAATATTCCAAAAATTCGACCGACTATCTATAAGATTGTTAACTTTTAACAATGGGTCAACAAGTGAACCATTACTCTTTGCTGGTCTCGGGAATTGAGCTGGAATCCAAGGTAGCTAAAACTGTTCATAAAAAATCTTTAATATATATCTCTAAAAAGATTTAAATAGAGTTCTCAAATTCTTCAATTAAAGAAAATTTGAAATCTAAGGGCAAACCAAAAAAAAAAAAAAAGCGAAGGAAGGAAGAGAAGAAAAAAGGGTAATGGGCATGTGACTGATCACGGCTTTGCCTCCACCGCATAACACGAATCAAAAAGCTCCCTTCACAGATAGATTACACTCTCTTTCTCTCTCTCCCGGCGTTTAATTTTCTAATTTCACAACCGTGCTCCGCCGCCGTCTCCGCCGTGGGGACTTATATCGCCGCCTATTTCACGACCTGCCGCCACCGCCGGCGATAGGTTTAATGTTGAATTAAGGCGTTGTCGAGAGAGAGAGAGAGAGGAAGGGATTGCGATCTGTCGATTTTTTATCTCAAATGCTAGCGAAGAATCGGCTGCCGGGAAGCGGCCACACTACTCCGTCTCCTCCGGCGTCTCCTCGCCGGTCTCCTCGTTACCGTCACGGTCGGTCTAAAACCGCCGCCGGTAGTAGATTTCCTACGGTTCAACCAAGTCGGACCCTCGCTCATCGCCTCTCTTGGATCCTCTTATCGGTTCTTCTCCGTCGTCAGGGAATATTCCTATTCGCTCCTCTAATCTATATCTCTTGTATGCTCCTTTACATGGGAACGGTCTCGTTCGATGTTGTTCCAATCATCCAGCGTCGACCTCCGCCAGGATCCGTTTACAAAAGCCCTCAGGTTTACGCCAAGCTCCGCCCTGAGATGGACGCCGATAATTCCACCGCTGATGCCGTGAGTTCTCTTTTTCCAGCTCCACATTGTCTTACGCAGCTCGTTTTCTTTGTTCATAATAGCTTGTATCTTAGCGTTTCGTGATTCAACTTTCTCTAGAGGAATTCAAGCTCATAAGATTGGATAATGGCGATGGTTCTCCTATCTCGTGAAATTTAGGTTGATGAGAAGATATTTTGCTATTAGTTTTAGCTCTGTTTACTTGTAATAACCTGTTTCTCTAAGTACAAAGACATATTGAGAGAAAGAGCATTGACCTGAAGTTTTCCCTTGATTTCTATGTTCGTATTGGTTATGTTCCTTACCCTTAAAACTACTGTTAGATTTGGAGATTTTGGTGAATGAATACTTTCCATGTATCACGATCTCTACTTTGGTTCTGTGGCTACTTTGCCTGTTTGAGTGATACGTTGAGAATCTTCAGTATAGATTGCTTCGTTATTCGTTTTCATGTATCATCAGTGGAATTGTATTCATCGCAGATAACAACCATTTGGAAACATTCCTATAAAGGTGGTGAATGGAAGCCCTACGTGAACAAGTCTACTGGAGGTATTACATTGTTTTTGTAATAATTCTAAGCTTCAGCGTTTACGAAGCATATCTTCTCAAAACGTTCCCACCTTAATTAAAATGGAGTACGGAATTGAATATGCAAGAGTAAAGTGTTCTATATATTCTGCAAAGTTTTGCCTGGAGCTCAGATTTAGCCTGTTCTTTGGAGCATAATTGATTAATTGGGTTTCTGCTTCTTTTGTTTATAATTGTAGACTTGCCCGAGTCAAACGGTTTCATATATGTCGAGGCAAACGGAGGCTTGAATCAGCAGCGGACATCGGTGGGTTTGTTTATCTTTTCATGATACTTGAAATTTATGCACATCGCTCAATCATTCTACCAATCTTGTTTATGTCAAAGCTGTTGACTTATCTCTACCAATGTTATGCTTAGATATGCAATGCGGTTGCTGTGGCAGGCTATCTTAATGCAACTCTAGTAATTCCCAACTTTCACTATCACAGCATATGGAGAGATCCAAGGTTTTAGATTGCTTTCTTCTGAAAATCTTGTCTTCCCGTTGTTTGTTCAAATCAAAGCCATCTTTTGTGGATTGCTTTCTGACAGTGGGTTTTCTTTCAGTAAATTTGGGGACATCTACGATGAAGAGTTCTTTGTCAGTACCTTAGCAAATGATGTGCGGGTAGTTGATACAATTCCTGAATATCTAATGGAGCGTTTTGACTACAACATGACAAATGTCTATAACTTCAGAGTTAAAGCATGGTCACCTATTCAATATTATCGAGACTCGATCTTGCCGAAGCTGCTTGAGGAGAAGTAAGTTACAAATTCTTTTTTAGAAGATTGTTCATGTGGTACAATTGGTTACACATTGTTAGTAGAGTTAAAAATATAGTGACAGGATATAGTAAACCATCTTTTTTTAAGTGGAAGATATGTTTTGGATCTGTTTAGCTCTTGTCATTGAAGAGCTGTTCTCTATGCATGGCACAGGATTATACGAATATCTCCATTTGCAAATAGACTTTCTTTTGATGCTCCGCAAGCTGTTCAGAGACTTAGATGTTTGGCGAATTATGAAGCCCTGAAGTTTTCGAAACCCATACTAACCCTAGGGGAAACACTGGTGAAGAGAATGAAAGAGCAAAGTGCAAACCACGGCGCAAAATACGTTTCTGTACATCTGCGTTTTGAAGAGGTTTGTTCCTTGCAAAGGAGAGACATCTATAGAATCCCCATTGGTCTTTATCATGGTTGTAAACTTTTGAATGGAGAGCTTTGTGTCTGAGATGAAAGATGTAATAAGCTATACCTACATGTTGCAGGACATGGTAGCTTTCTCTTGTTGCATATTTGATGGTGGGAACCAAGAAAAACAAGATATGATTGCAGCAAGAGAACGAGGATGGAAAGGAAAGTTCACAAAACCAGGTCGCGTTATACGACCTGGTGCTATCAGGCAAAACGGAAAATGCCCTTTGACTCCTTTAGAGGTACTTATCTCTTCGTTTGATTCCTTTAAGCTCCTACTACCCATAATATATTAGCATTCTCAGATATTTCATTAGTTAATCATCCATCAGAATAGTTCCACAAACCATTGTGAGCAATAGTGTGACTTGTTCTGAATGGTTTATACTTTTCTTGTAAACTATTCAGGTAGGTTTAATGCTTAGAGGAATGGGGTTCAACAAAAGCACATATATTTACCTTGCGTCTGGTGACATATATGATGCGAATCGAACTATGGCCCCGTTACTAGAGATGTTCCCAATTTACAAACTAAGGAGATGCTTGCATCACAGGAGGAACTTGCTCCATATAAGGTCTGCTTCTTTCCTGGTGTTTGTTCCAGAGTATAGTTCTCGTGATGAATGATAAATCTGACTTGAAACTCTGTCTTCAGAACTTCTCTTCCAGAATGGCTGCAATAGATTACACGGTCTGTCTCCACAGTGAGGTATTTGTGACCACACAAGGTGGAAACTTTCCTCATTTCCTCATGGGTCATCGGAGATATTTGTTTGGAGGACATTCCAAGACCATTAGACCGGACAAGCGAAAGTTAGCAATCCTCTTTGACAATCCCAACATCGGGTACTCACTTCTTCTTCTCTAAATCTTCGATAAACCCTACCAAATCTCCACATTTTAATCGCCGACATGAATAACATTTGGATTGTTCCCGGGTTTTTTTCACCATACCAGTGTTGCACTCATCTGCAAACCTAAAACTCTGTTGATGTGTTATCACTTATTGCTCAAACGCTGTTTTCTGTTTTGTTTTGTTTTTTTTTTCCTGCAGATGGCGGAGTTTTAAACGTCAGATGCTAAACATGAGGTCTCATAGTGACTCAAAGGGGTTTGAGCTAAAACGACCTAATGACTCCATTTACACATTCCCTTGCCCTGACTGCATGTCTCGTAGGAACAAAACAACAACCCCAGATTCCAGACCTTCTCCTGTCACCTGAAACACACACATTTGATTACCGGCCTTCCAGAATCCGCTTCTACAGGCTATGTTCATTCCTTGTAATTCTAATTCTTTCAAACCAGACAGGACTTAGTAACTCGGCCTGCCCAGAATTTTAGGGAGACAGCGTTTGAAGGGGCTGCAGAATCGTCTATTTATCTCCAGGGAGGTTAGCCAAGGAGTAACAGCCACAACATTGTTTGATACTTTTGACACATTGAAGCTGATGTATCTAACAGGAGAGACAACATTGAAGTTTTAACAGAATAGGGCAGCGTTTGGATTTTGGTGTTTTTATGCTGGGGGTGTTTTGCGGTTTGGAGCGTTTGCGTTTTGTACATTTTGTAAACGCAGACGTCAAGAGTCTTTGTGTTAGGAGATATGTAGAGAGACGGACAAGGGATATAGGAAGCTGCCCGAAAAGTTTTGTACATTTGATTTGGTTAGAGATCATTGTGTCTTCTTTTCATTTCTTTTTTTGTTCATTTAAATTCTTTGTTTTGATTGTTTCACATCATATTCTTATGATTCTTTCCAGGTGAATCTTTGTGTTTCTTCAGAAAGTAATTTGATTCATTTTTTGCTTCTTCCAGTCGTGTTCACTTTTTCATATGTTTTTATTATACAATTAAATTGGTTTGTTTGCTTGTTGTCTAATCCAACAAACACAAAATAAAAATTTCATCTTTCTAATTTATTTCTACGCGCTACTCGGGCGCGTGAGAATGCGTTCCACGTGGAACTGGCTTATTTCGCCAACACAACACAGGTGTGCGCGTGGGGAAACGTCTCTCATAAATAATTGGAGCGTATAAAGAAAACTTTGTTTCCTTGCTTGTTTGGGTTATTATCTCTAGACAAAAGGATTTGAAGTATATCAATTTCCCGGCGAAATCTCTACCGGAACCACCGCGTTATGGGAATCACCGGTAGTCTTACTCCAGATCAGCTCCAGTTTTTTCACTCTCAAGGTTTGTTTCCATGGAAATTTCGTTCCTCCTAACTCGATCAATGAACAAGTTATGAATGATTTTGTAAGTCAAAATGGATATTAGGGTATTTGGTAATCGAATCGTTCGCGAATGAGGATGAGATTAGAGGCTTAAGGAAGAGGATGGACGAGTTGCTTAATCAGTTTGATTGTTCCGTCTCGTCCTCTATTTTCTCCACTAAGAATCAGGTTTTATTTTCTATACCAAAGTTCTTTTGATTCCAATCATCATCATCATCATGTTGTTTTTCTCTGTTTAATTTTGATTAGAATGGTTATTTGATTATTGTAGAAGCACACCACCGATAATTACTTCTTTGAGAGCGCTGAGAAAATCTCCTTCTTCTTTGAAGGTAATAATCCCACTTTTCCTAAATTACTTAGCTTTTTTTATGTCCCCAGATACTTGTTTGTGTTAACATATTCCAAACTATCACTTGGGTTTTTTCCAAATGAGTGTTCCTTGCCGCTTTTGTGTTGATGTCTGTGTGCAAGTGCTCTGCTATATCCACAAGTATTGACTGTTGATAACTATCTCTTTGCAATTTTACAGTTTCTGATAAATACCATACCACTACAATCTCATCTCTTTTTTTTTTTTGATACAATGGATTATGAATATGAATTTTAATGCCATGTTTTCGCACTTCTTTTTGATGCGGGATGTGTGGGAAGCTTCGGTCACCGTTTCTAATGACTTAGTTAGGATGCAATTTTCTAGACTAATTATATCCTTGTTTCATGGTCTAGTGGATATCGTCTGATGTTTTTGTTCTCATCCAGCTATATGCTAAAGATTCTTGTGTTTGAATCTCAGAAAAAGCTTTTGGTGATGATGGGAAATTGAAGCAACCCAAAGAACTCTCTATTAACAAAGTTGGACATGGTATTTTAACCTCTCATCTCTTCCTTTTTTTGGCTCGCTTTTTACATACTTTTCGTGTTAGGTAGAGAAAATTGGGCTCACGAATGTTAACATTGTTTGTTGGTGCAGCACTGCATGAGCTTGACCCATTGTATAGGGAATTCACATATTCGTCCAAGTTTTCAAGTTTGGTGTCATCCTTAGGTTACAAGAGACCAGTAGTCATGCAGTCTATGTACATTTTCAAGGTACTTTTATTTATTTATAGACTTTTGATTCTTTGTTCTTTGTATGTTTTTAAACTTTGATCAATGAAAATCTCCAACTGCTGAAAATCAGTGTGTTCACACTATATGTTGATTGCTTTTAAAAATTAGGAACTGAGATTGTCATAGAATATGCAAATGTTCAACATTTCAGAATGCAGATCACCACTTATATTTATTACTAACAACTTCAAAATTAGCATTTGTAGTTACGGTTAAACTATTTAAAGCTTATATCATTCCGATCTCAGCTTCTTTCGCTTACTTTATGGGAACCTTTCACTATGCAACTTTGTAATTTGGACTGTTGATTTTACTAGCAACCTGGAATTGGAGGCGAAGTTGTGCCGCACCAAGATAATTCTTTTGTGTACACGGATCCACAGAGTTGTACTGGTCTCTGGATTGCTCTGGAAGATTCTACAACAGTTAATGGTTGTCTTTGGGCAATTCCTGGATCTCATAAGAGTGAGTTTTCTTACCTCTATTTCTCGTGTTCTTTGTTATTTACATAGTTTCTCTTAACTGGACAGTCCTTTTTTTCCGCTGCCTTATTTCAGATGGTTTAGTTAGAAGGTTTATCCGGGGGGAAAACGGTATAACCTTTGATCAGCCATCCCCATCTTACGAGCAGAAAGATTTCGTGTCTATTGAAATGAAAGCAGGCTCATTGATTGCCATTCATGGTGATCTAATCCATCAAAGGTAAATTTCATCTCCCATATGAAGTAGCTTGCTTATAGTTTAGATTTGGCTGAGCTCTGAAAAATTATGTTCTCCTCAATGTGGAATTTGAGATGCAGTTTCGAGAATCTATCCTCGAAGTCAAGACATGCCTATAGCTTACATGTAGTAGAATCTGATGGATGTAAATGGGCAAAAGATAACTGGTAAGTCTTTTATTTAAGTTTTCCTCATTTCATTTTCCAAGTCTTTTCAGTTTGTTCTTCGTTCTTTTAACACGGAATGTTTACATTTCAATTATATGCTAGGATACAAAGAGAAAAAATGCCGGAGCCTCTCTATGTTCTTCCTTGATTCACGCCAGTCGTGGGAAAACACTGTGAGTTACTGTTTATCAAATTTCTTTTATGATGATCTACCCACTATCTTTGTGAGAACTTTGAACAGTAATAAGAACATGGCTAAAAGGGCCTTCTTGTGTCATTTACTTGTTGAATACAATTTGTTTATGCTTGGTCTCTGTAGTTGTCTTTAGATAACCAAACTCAGTGGTCAATAAAGTGTGACAGTGATTACTTGATGTTTCTTTGAATTCACAGTAATTAGACACTAAAGAAAGTCATATAAAGAGGTTAGGACCCTTAACAGTTAAGAAGTAGAGGAAAGAGAGACCATTGGATACTGTTTTTTTAATTGTCAAGCTGTTTGAAATGTTATTGTGATTGGAGGAATGGGACAAAACTATCTCTGTCCTATTGTAATTGTACCAGGGCAAAAGAAACGTGGGACAGATCTTTTAGGTGCAGAAACGATAGAGTCAATTAAAGAGTTATGGTCGAAGTGATAAATGCTTTGTGTAGTTGTCTTTAGGAAGTGTTCTTGATCCTCTGTCTCGAAAAGCATTTTTTCATACCATTATACATTCATGATCTTAAAAGTACAAAAGATGGGTCATATATTCTGTTTCTGGTAGATTAATTATTACCTCAGAAACTATAGACATTTGAACATCTCTTGCTCGATTTTAAACACAAATCAATGAGTAATCCTTTGTTTCCATTAAATTCACAAAATAAATGAGAAATGGGCAAACATTAAAGATGTTTTGTCTTCATTCCATCAAAACCCAAATGTCAGTTTGGTTTCCCCAACGGTACGCACTTTTTTGATAATAAACCTCACATTTGCTAAATTCCCTGAAAAATCTTAAGTAGTTCTATACACAGTGCAATGTCAGCATCGAATGTCTCTCTCAGAGAGTCGCATGTAAATTGCAGTGGGAGAAGAAAAGAAAGAAGAAAGCATGTGAAGAAGTAGAAAAACATCAATTACTAACAATTACATCTAATTTAATATATATTCCTTACATTGACAAGGAACCATCGAAGCTTTCAGTTTAACTTTCAGACACATGTATTAGATGGTTGCAGCTCCAAACCCAAGCCCCAACATGGTCCACCTTCACATTTGGGTAATAACTATTATATAACCATAATAATATTCAAAATCAAAACCCTAAAGTCGTAAAAAAAGAACCTTAAAAATTCAAACGCTCCTAACATTTACTACACGTCTCCATCTTCAAACTCATCTCTTCTACCTAAGAAGTAAGAACACATCACTTACCATTTCTGGACAAAAGAACAAGTAAAACCTTCATTAAATCCCTTTGTCCTATTTATTACTCACACATGGGTTTTTGTTTCAGTTCTTCAGAGGCATGAACTCGTAGTAGTAGCAGTAGTTGCAAAACACTTGATTTGCTTTCGTCTTCTCTGTAAACCGGCCTGTTTCCTCGTGGTTCTCCCTAACCGGAAAGAGATCTAAAGTTCGAATCTCCCTCGTTTCTTCTTGTCCTTCTCCGTTGACATTTTGGTCAATATTAATCTCTCCTGCAGGTTCTTGAGTTATCGACCAAGTAACAAGATTTCTCCACGTGGCGTCTTTACCATCCTCTGATGCCCTCACAGATTCTTCAGCTGTCCCATGATCTTCATTCTTAGCATTGTTGTCTTTATTGTTACTCGCAGGATCTAATTCATGCTAAGCAGAAAATACAAAATAATAAAATTGTTTTTAGGAGCTAGCAACTACAAAATAGTAATAAATTATTTTCGGGAGATGCCAATTAACTATTCTAAATTGAAATGATGATAAATACCAAAAAGATAAAATTGAGATGGATAAAAAAAAAAAAAAGTTAGCAGCCTTTTGAGAACATATATGATAGAAAAAGCTTCTCTATAACCCTACTCTGCATCATTTACTTGTCTTCCACACATATTTAGTTATTTACATTTATGTATTTGTTTGGTCACCTATTTATGCATATAACAAGTGTTTTGTGAGTATCTTTGTTCAAGAAAATACCTGTGGCTGTGGGTTTGTGTGTGGAAGAGATGGGCAGCTCTTTGTCTGATCAACTCGATAACCACCTGTAATTACCACGTCATCTTACATATATATCCGAAATTAGCATGCATGGCCACTTTAAGTAACGTTCCATTAAATTTCATCAGTTATATAAACCAAAACTTTATATATCCCTTTAACCAAAAAGACAAAACATACCTTAAACGTAAAATTATGTTGTTGGTTGATAGATATTTAGAACCAAAGGATGGGTATTTAAATCTCTAAATATAAATCAACTAATTATTGATCACCTGATGATGAATCCTTGACATCTTTATGTGGTTTGTTAAGAGCACCTCCTTCACAACGGCGTCGTTTTAGTCTCTCCCTAGCCTTATGATTCTGAAACCAATAGAAAACGTTCTTCCCTTCGATTCTCCCATATTTACGAAGCTTAGATGCTATCTGTTGGATATGTTCCGTCGTCGGTGTCCGTGTTCCGCTCATGTAAAGCTCTTCTAGCATCGTGATCTGCTCGGGTGTCGGATTCCATCTTGAAGTCGCCGTCGCAGGAATGTTATTTTTCCGATCATCATCGAGTTCTCCTGATGATGCAGTGATGAGCTGATGGTGATCATTGCCGTTAATATCACCTGAGAATAATAAGAAGAGTATATTAACAAACAAATAAACACATTGAGATTAATTAAATATATATATATATATATATAAAGAAGTAAGGGTTTAGTACAGTAGTGTGGGAGAAGAAGAGGAGGTTGAGTAGTAGAGAGGGGCAAATAGTTGATGAGGTTGTTGTTGGAGATGTAGCCCATGCTATGTAGAAGTTTGCCCTAATCACTTTTAATTTAGAGAAGATATATCAAAGAGAAAAGATTCACAAAATAGGTCTTTTGTTGTTGTTGTTATTGTGGAATTTTGAACCTTTTAGCTAGGGAAATGGGATTTGAGAGAGAAAATGCTTGAGTTTCAGTGCTGTGTGGGAATGAATGATGAGATGTTTACTTGTGATGCAAGAGAGATGAAAAGGCTACCAAAAGATTGATTTTTGGGTCTACCATTTGCCTCTTGTCTTGTTTTATAGATAAAACCAAAATCTTTATGCACATATGACATATATATAGAGAAAGAGAGAGAAAAAATGATTATACACTCTTCAATCTTGTATGTAATGAATTTTGCTTGACAATAGAAATGACTTGTATTATTATGTGTATAATCAGCAAAAGCAAAAGGAAATATGAGTAAACATGATTTAAATTTTAAATATGTCGGGGAAACTTTTTCTAAGTAATTAGACCAAAATTTCATAAGTTAATAATAAGATTAAAAATGAGTTTAACTAATAATAATATCCCACGTGCAGTTCTCGCGCGTTAGGCGCGTTACGTCATAATCGGCACACACTAGTCAACGGATTTAGGCCACTTTTTACCAAAATTCATAACTGAGCCCAATAGACGCGCGTGGGTCGAGTTTTTTCCTCTCTCATATTAAACGGGCTTTAAACTGGACTATTTAAATCAAATGGACCGAGTGACTCGTTTTGCAGCCCATAATATATGTTCCGAAAAGTGAAAAAATATATATATCAATATCGGAAAATAACGTCAATAAAAATTGAATTCTTGAAGAAATTTATAAAAATTTGTTAGAAGGAAATTTTTCTAAAAAACAAAATGGAGATGGGAATGGGGGTAGTTGAATAATGAGTAAAGCTCCTTAAATCTCTCCATTTATGGCTCACCACACTGTGCAAAACATTCATTCCACATTCAACAACCTCCCTCTGAGGATATTCCTCTTTAACCAAAATGGACCCAAAACTAAATTATTTAATACAAAATGAGTAATAATCTCCAAGGAACAAAATTACATTTTTATTTTTATTTAATTATATATACATTTTGATGTGTGTCTTGTTTATAATCAATGTATATAATATATACGCATATTATTTTTTCTAAGAAAAACAGGGACAAGATTAACGTTTTCATATATTTGGTTAAATGTTAATTCTTGTTGCATCAACAACCATTCGTGATTTAATATCGATGTGTTGGAAATTTATGTATTTAAGTCTCATACCTTAACAAAATAGAAAATTAATCCGTGAGTGCATAGTAGTAAAACTAGTATTCATTCATATATGAGCATTAATTATGTTTGTACGTATGTAAATAATACTTGAAAAAAAAAGAGAGAAAAGAATAGAGGAGAGGTCCTTGGGGACAGGCATCCCCATCGAGAGAACCGAATGCATTAAGTTCAAACACATTCAAATGAAACAAATATTATTAAAGCTAAATGGCCTACTCTAATAAATAATATCTTTATCCCACATCACAATAATCATTTAGCCGATTTTCGCATAAGTTTTTATTAGTAAGCTCTTTTTTTAGTTTTGTGTTAATGAAACTTATCTACGATATGAACTAGTGTTCGATAATAATCCGAAATTGTAAATTCGGATAAATCAAACTGATACAAAATGCGTAAAAAAATGGATTGGAAAATTCTATTTACTATCAACAAAAAAATACTTCGATTCACTAATAATGAGTTTGTTAGATTTACAATACCTTCTCATTTCCAAATGAGAAAGATTCATGTTCACAATGAACAGGTGAGGAATCGTTACATTTTTAGTTTTTTTTTTTAATGATATAAAATTTGGAAGTTCTGAATCTTTGATTCTTAATCTTTTTGATGTCTTGAATAAACCGTTAATAATACTGTGATTAAGGTGTAAATATAGTTGAAGTCTTGAAAAAAAAAAAAATTAGTTGAAGTAGTGACCTTGTGAATACTTTTAAGAACCACTAGACCACCACATTTTTGTAGTTCTCAAGTTTGAAAGTTCGTTCTAAATCGGTTTGAGCTAATTAGATTTGGATCCAAAAGAAAACATGCAACTTTTCATCGATTTTTATATATTGTTAGGAACTTAGGATACCTACTCAGTATGTATATGATTAGGCTGAATTTACATACATGTCCGTTTTAAAAAGAAAGATTGGATGCTTAATGCACGACCTAAAAATATGTATTTTTCAACTAGAGCCCACCATATTCTCACTTTTAATATGTAGGGAAAATCCACAACAATGGGCTCATTACAATTAAAAATAGTCATTATGCATGAATTTCACCAAATTTTAAGTTTTTGGTTCTCCCATTTTCATGAGCGAAGGAACAGTCAACAGCTTCCATGCTCATATATTTATAAACTAATCATATTTAACAATACATCGATTTTATTATACGATGTTGGACCCATTCAACACTGATTTTAAAATACTTATATGTCTATGTTTAAATAACAATAATTAATCAGTTAAACACAAAAAGACAACCTTCTTTTTCTGCATAGAACATGATCTTCGAAGAAAACCATGCATTCGAATCTTCAACCATTTTTTTCCTTCTTACAATATTAGTATATAAAAAAATTACAAATTCCGAAAACATACTGATTTAATTAAATAAATACAAAACTATTATCAATAATTCATGGATCTCGATGGTAGGCATTGAAGCAAGAGTTACAACAACAACAGAGAAACAAGATCATTGACTCTTAGCCTCACAGAAATTATACAAGGCTAAGGATAATGATCCACATCTCATTATGACTAAAACATAAAATTATACTAAAGTAGCTATAGAGATTGAAGAATCTCATGGCAGTTTCTTGGAGCTCGAAGAGACACGTGTTGCTAAATAGTGTTTCAGTTGTGAAGAGGATTTGGACCTGTGTGAACTAATCTCTTGTCGTCTTTATAAACGTCATCTCTGTTTTCTTCTTCTCGACGTTGACCCGTGAACGACACTGAAGCTTTGGGAGCTTGAAACGACGCCATTTCATGGAAAGGATCAGCTTTTCTCGGTAGTGAAGGAGTTGCAAAAAGAGCTGATGAAGAAAAACCAAACTGAGCGAAGATCAAGATTCCCCAGAAGAACACGGCGGTGGTAGGTGGTGGTCGTCCATTTCTTCTTCTTGTTCTTCTCCTTATGTCTTGCTCGTTTCCTACACAAGCTTCCATGGCGGTTTGATTTGAGTGGAAAGAGAAGCTTTTTATGAGAAGCCCATGAGGTAGTGAAAATTTGAGTTTGTATCTCTCTCTGTTTTCTTGTGACAGAAATTGATTTCCTTTTTTGTCGGTGTCTGTGAAGTGCAGAGCAGGTTTTGGATTCAAGAAATTGATGAGAAAAAATGGGCTTTGAGTAAAAACTATAATAATAAGTCTTTTGATAAAAAGTGACTAGTGGTAAGAGGATTAACCCAAAAGACAAAACTCTTTTATTTGTTTGAGTGAAGTCTAAGTAACAAAAAAACTTTGTCTGGGTCTCTTTGGATAATGAGAAGAAGAAGAAGAAGAAGTAGAAAGAGGAGAAGATGAAAAAGATTTTTATTATTCAATGGAAATTAGATTTGTGGTTTCTTTATTTTAAAATTTGTTTCCTTATCTTATGGGTCTTATCCCTTGTTTGAAAAATCGCTAGGCGCTAGTCGGGCGTTCGGCATGGGCCTAGCGATTAATCGGAAAATCGGATTAAAATCGGGGATTAATCGGGGATTAGTTTTAGGGTTATTTTAATATTTTTAAAATATATTAATTCAATATTGTTTTCAAAATTACAGTAAAAACAAATTTTTATGATTTTTATTAAAATTTGAACACAAGTTATGTAAAACATCACAAACTCCCAATTCAAATGATTGAATAACAAAAATAAAATGTTTTTTTTATACTTGTAATCTAAAAAATAATCGGGGTATTTAAGATTAGACGGGAAATAATCGGATTAGGCGGGAAATAATCGGATTAGACGGAGAATAATCGGGTTACTGATTTTTTAGGGGATTAGTCATTAATCGAGGCGGAGAGGGTGGGCCTAGCGATTAAGCGGGGAGTAATCGGGGCTAGGCGGGGATTTTTAGAACAGGGGTCTTATCAAACGATCTTGACCCTTGATTCCTGGGAGAACCTTCTCATATCTGTACTGTGAAACTTATTTTTTTTTTATCTAACCTCCTCCAATGCTTTGCTTGTTCTCTCTGCTCAATAGTATTTTCTTATATTTTATTAATGAAAATTGCAAAATATTTTTCAAATTCAGCCATGTTGTTGCTTGGAGATGGTGCAGTGGACAGTTCAGTATTAATAGCCGTTGTCCCCGGGAAAAAAAAAAACGAATTTATGTTTTCTGAGAGGAGAGAGAAGGGTTTTCACTGTAAAAATCAAAATGTTAATAATGTAAAAAGTGTTTTTACTAATAAAAGCAAGTAGCTTTCAATGGAGGATTGATTACCTTAGTTTTGCTAAATTGACCCAAAAAAAAAAAAAAGATACCGTTGTTGCAGAGTCTTTTTACTTGGAATGTCTTGACGACAAGTGAGATAACCTCTGTTCTCTGTTTTGTCTCCATCTCTCTCTCTCTGTCTTTCACGAGAACTTTTTCTATTTCTTGCTTCTTCCATGTCTCTGCTTTTCAACTCTCAGAGAAAACCATTAACAGAGGCAAACTCTGTTTTTGATCAGTGTCAATAGCATCTAATGACTGACATAAACATTGAATTCATATTCACAAATTTTGACCATTCTTTATCTCCTGCAAAAAAGTAGTTCAATTTCAGCTATTTATACATCACAATAGATACAATACAAGGCCTGTAAAATCAGTGGAATATACAAAGAAAGATACAAAACTCATTAACTGGCAAAAACGTGAGGTCAGGCTTAAATAGATCTAGATAATTAATGAGCAATTAAAGATCAAATAAGCATTAAGGAGTATAGTGTACAAATTGACTTAGCTACCTTATTCAGTAGAGTCTCTCTCTCTTGCAGGCTTCTGACTTGTGCAGAAGATTAAACCAAAAGCTTCACGATTTGTTGCCATATGCAAGTTTAGTGGATCAGGAGCTTGGTTTTGCATCAACTGGTCTTTTGTTACTATTCAAAGCTTCAGATACTTTTAAAATCTGTGGATGCATTTCTCATCAGATTTTCTCTTGATAATCAGAACATCAATATGTGAAGTCACCAGAACTCTTTACAAGAGCAGATACCATTCCTGAAGTGGTGAAACCTGTTCTTGTCTCTCATGATGATCTCTCTTGATGTAAGCCTGGAAACAAACTTGGAGAAAACGTGGCAATCATCACAGGTTCTCAAGTTCTTCATAACCCGTATAGGATGTCCTGCTCTCCCATTAATGAGTCCAAATGCAATAGCAAGCTTCTCACTGTGATGACTAAGAGAAGATTCCTTTTCCTCCATTTCCACATCATGAAATACTGAACCCGTATCGGGAACATACCCCATGTTTCTTATCTTCTTCAAGATTTCATCCAATTTCTCATATATCGCCTTTGATTGCGGATGTGATATGTCTCCTCTATTGAAAAAATGGATTTTGCCGTCAAATTCAACGGAACTATAGGCAGCAACCTTTTTAGTGCCCAGCTTCCTCATTTTACTCCTTACTTTGTCAACACAATCCCATTTACCAGCAGCTGCATAGATATTAGACAGTAGTACGTGGTATGAACCAATATCAGGAGCTGTTTCTACAAGAACGTCGGCCACTTTCTGCCCCAAGATCATATCACGATGAACTGCACAAGCACCCAACAAAGCTCCCCAGATACCGGTATCTGGTTCCACTCGCATCTTTTTGATAAATTCATAAGCCTCCTCTAGAAGACCAGAGCGTCCCAATAGATCAACCATACATGCATAATGCTCTTTTCTTGGCTCAAGATTCTTATCATTCAATCGAACCATGAGACTGAAATACCTTTTTCCTTCATTCACTAGTCCAGCATGGCTACAAGCAGATAACACCCCGAGAAATGTCACGTAGTTCGGTCTTAGTCCCTCGTTCTGCATCATAGTGAACAATGCCAAGGCTTCTCCGCTATCGCCATTCATTGCATATCCTACAATCATCGTGCTCCATGAAACCACATTCCTTTGTTTCATGTCGTCGAATAATACCCTGGCAGCTTCGGTGCTACCACACTTCAAGTGCATATCAAGCCTTGCATTTTCGACTATTATGTTACATTCAATCTCTTCTTTCCTCGCGCGATCATAAATTTCTTCTCCGATATCCAAAGAGCCCAGCTGACCACAAGCAGAAAGCATACTCACAACAGTAAAAGAATCAAACTGAACTGCATCCGCACACATCTTGTTGAAATACTCAAGAGCTATAGCGGAGTTCCCGGTTTGAACACAAACCGCAATAAACGCATTCCAAGCCACTAAATCCTTGACTTGCATTGACTCAAACAAGAACTCAGCCGAACTCAATTCACCAAACTTCATGTACATCATCACCAACTCAGTTGCAACAATCCCAAGACACTCAAAACCATTTTTCAACACATGGGCATGAAGGGAAACCCCACAGGGCAAAACCCCAAGCTGAGAGATCGCCTTCACCACAAACGGGTAAGTAAATTCATCAGGACGGACACCAAGATCACGCATTTTCTTATAAAGTAGGACACTTTCAAAAGGGAGCTGGTTTCTAACGTACCCTTTGAAAAGAGTGTTCCAAAGGAAGATCCTCGGCTTGGGCATTTCGTCGAACACCTGGCGTGCGTAACACATGTCACCTACAAGTACAAGATTCTCTAACAACTGAGTTAAAAGACTGTTCTTTTCAGAGAAACCTGTCCTTATTACAACCGCGTGGATCTTCTTAAGCTGCTTCGGCTTTGAAGAACTTGCTCGTAAGAGCTCGGAGAGCATTTGTTTTGTTAATGGCGTTTGTTTCGCAAGCATCTCTTCCTTCCTTCCTTTTTTTTGTTCCGTGATCGTCGTACTTTCAATGGTCTCTGATTTTTATAAAGCCCAATTCCTACGACAAGAGGCCTAATTAAGTAAGCCCAAAATTAGATATGTATGGGCCGAGAGACCTAAGAATCAATCCACAGAGTCAAAAATTGATTTTTAAATCCTTTTTCTTGTACCAGTTACCGGTTAAACCGGTTAACCAAAATCTTTTTACTAAAATGATGATAATCTCACCGGAATTGCTGACCGGAAAATCTCTGAAGAAGCCGCATGGAACTTCGATGTCAATGTTCGAATGGTTGAAATAAGAAAATCTCTTCTGAGTACTAAAATTACCACCGAAACTCTCACTTTTTCCATTAATGTATCTCAAATTTTCTTGTGATGATGAATCACTCAAGATACTCTGTATCTCCTTCAACACTGTCCAATAATCTGATTCACATAAAACAAAAAACAAAAAACAAAAAAAATAGAATAAAAACAGATAATGTGAAATTGTTTAATCATAGAAAATAGAGGAAATGTAAGAAAATCCAAACTCAGACTAATTTGATTTTTTTTTTTTCGCTATTTAAAGCAAATTGATTTTATACTGCCAGTTTTGCAAAATTCTAAATAATCTTCAGTTGTGTGTATATTATTAGCTGATTTGGTCACAGAAACGTACCTTAGTAAGTAAATTGAGTGAATGGTAATCAAACTATATGACTTATACATACATAAAGTAAGTATATCTGTATTTGTGTGTTTACATGCATAAATCACATATAGTAGAACGTAAAGATATTTAAGTATTTTTTTGGTCAACATATTTCATTTAGTTTAATCCAACAAAAAGAAATACTACGTCATTTAGTAATTAGTAAGTAGATATTATTGATTGTTCTAGAGAGTGACGTTGAACCATCAACATAGTATTAAATTCATTGTCTGATAGTAGTATTTTACTTCTCAGAACATACTTTTATTGATTTTCGGTCGATGGGGACAGCAGAAGCATGGAAAACGTTCGACCAATAATCTTCGTCTCTTATTTGATTTGAGTTATCGCCGAATATTGAATTATGCCATTTGCCATTTATTCTTTTTTTTTTTTGGACAAACTAAGCATATCATATAATAGAAAGGAGCCTTGTTCGAAAAATCGCTAGGCGCTAGTCGGGCGCTCGGCATGGGCCTAGCGATTAATCGGAAAATCGGATTAAAATCGGGGATTAATCGGGGATTAGTTTTAGGGTTATTTTAATATTTTTAAAACATATTAATCCAATGTTATTTTTAAAATTGCAGTAAACACATAAAAATGTATTTTTGAGACAAATATTTATGATTTTTATTAAAATATGAACATAAATTATTGTAAAACATTACAAACTCCCAATTCAAATGATTGAATAACAAAAATAAAAAGTTTTTTTATACTGACAATCTAAAAATAATCGGGGTATGTAAGATTAGGCGGGGAATAATCGGATTAGGCGGGGAATAATCGGATTAGGCGGAGAGTAATCGGGTGACTGATTTCTTTAAGGGATTAGTCATTAATCGAGGCGGATAGGGTAGGCCTAGCGATTAAGCGGGGAGTAATCGGGTCTAGGCGGGGATTTTTAGAACAGGGGAAAGGAGTTTAACCTCTACTAAGAGAGGATACAAGGCTACAAAGATTACTTTCTAAAACGGTCGTTTTCAGTCAGGTTTTCTATCGGGTCACCTATTTTCTTTTTTGTAGAAAGGCGACAGTGATTGTTACCGGCCTCGCAAAATTATGATTTATTAATTATCTATGGCTTGATTATGATTTCTAGGCATGTAATATTTAGTTGATAGTTTATGTTTCGATCGAGTTCAAGAAATAAATCATATCAATAATTATCCAATTTTTTTTTATTTTTTTGGTGATACGAACTTGGTAAACGTGAATCACTACACAATTCAAATTAACCGTAAATTTTTAACTTTTCTAGGCACAATAAATTTAGACTTACTTATGAATAATATGTGTATTGGAAGAACCGGAGATCGACCGAGATCGACGGTCGAGATGATTGTCCAAAAATATGAAAATCATAAAGATCGAGAAGGATCTAGAAGATTATCATATCTTAGTTTAGGAACATTTACATTTATCTCTAAAGTATATTTTACATTTAAGTTTATCTTAATTTAGGAAATTAGGTTTAGTCTTTCTATATATATATATCGATGTATCTTGGAACATTAATCTTATGAGAGCCAATTATAATTCTTCCTAAACACTTTTGTGTTCTTTACTCTCATCAATTTATCATGGTATCAGAGCCAGGTTCTTATTCCTATGGGTTAAGGTTTTGTTTGCTTCCGCTACTACAAAAAAAAAAAAAAAAAAAAAAAGAAGAAAGAGACGTGATCCTTTATTCTTGGTAGATTTTCATGTGTTTATCCCGGTCATTGATTGGCCACGTTGATATTCTAGCAAAGTTGCTAGTTTCTTGAAGAACAAACCACTTGATCATTAACATGAATCTAGTGGTTTCGTTCAGTTTCGGTAACAATGATGTTTTTCTCGCCCTCGCGAGTTTGATATCCCTTTTGATTAAACTTCTCGCCCTCGTGAGTTGTTTCTTTTAGTCTCGCCATCGCGAGCTACATCCAAACCTCGCAATCACGCGAGCTACATCTGAACCTCGCAATCGCGGGTGTTATTTTATATTACTTGAACCCTACGATCGGGTATAAACTTTGATGACCTAACGGCTGGGTATTGTAGCCGCTTTGAACCCTACGATCGGGTATAAACGTCGATGATGACCCGACGGCCGGGTATAAAGCCGCTATTATGAATAATTGTCTAATCTCACACGTGTGACCACGTATGAGTTTGCCGGGGGGTATTGGAAGAACCAGAGATCGACGAAGTTTATCTTAATTTAGAAAATTAGGTTCAGTCTTTCTCTATATATATATCGATGTATCTTGGAACATTAATCTTATGAGAATCAATTATAATTTTTCCTAAACACTTTTGTGTTATTTACTCTCATCAATTTATCAATACGACCATTGTTTTTTAAATCATATTTGTAATAATGCAAGATGACAGAATCGTGGTAAAAAAATAATTTTAGTCAAACGGAAAAAAAAAAGACATATTTTTACGTTTTTTAACCGTTACATTCTCTATGGAAAAAAAAAAGACATATTTTTACGTTTTAACCGTTACATTCTCTATATAAACGAAGGAGAGCAGAAATGAAAGTATTCATCAAGCAAAGAAACAAACAAATACACTTCACTCGCTACCAAGGAAGAGACAAAAGAGAGAGAGATGGCGACGTCAGGAACATATGTGACGGAGGTTCCTTTGAAAGGATCGGCGGAGAAACACTACAAGCGGTGGAGGAGTGAGAACCACCTCTTCCCCGATGCCGTCGGCCACCACATCCAAGGTGTCACCATCCACGACGGCGAATGGGACTCCCATGGAGCCATCAAGATTTGGAACTACACATGCGGTAAAAATACACTTACTTTATTTGTTACAAACTTACAAGTATACAGAGAATCTATTTATCAAACGTTTGACCATATATGTAAACTCATCTCTCTCTAAATTTGATTCACTTGAACCCGACAATTTTATTCATAAGTAGATTGGCGGATTTTTTTTAAGGAACAGTAACAACACACGTGAATCTTGCCATTTAAAACATTCATCAGAAACATATATGTGGAAGAATCTCTTTACCTTAAAATTTAGTTGAGTGTTACATGTATATAGATCCAAACATATATAATATATGCATGGTGCTAACTTATCAATGGAACACATATATGAAGATGGGAAACCGGAGGTGTTCAAGGAGAGGAGAGAGATAGACGACGAGAATATGGCGGTAACATTCAGAGGACTAGAAGGTCACGTGATGGAGCAGCTTAAAGTGTATGACGTCATCTTTCAGTTCATTCAAAAGTCCCCTGATGATATCATCTGTAAGATCACTATGATCTGGGAGAAGCAAAACGATGACATGCCTGAGCCTAGCAACTACATGAAGTTCGTCAAGAGCCTCGTTGCTGACATGGATGATCACGTTCTCAAAGCCTAAATCCCCTTCACATCAACCCATTAATTATCACCTAATATCATGATCATCATCACCCTCATACGTACATGGCTCCTTTTGTGTGTGTGTGTGTGTTTCGTTTTATGGTGTTTTCAATACAATAAATGGGGGTTTGCATGTCTGGTTTCATCTACTATATTATGCTTTGATGTTGTTTATGTTGAGGCTTCATGTATGTTCATCTATACATGTATCCTTGTTAATTAATGATTTTCAAGAGTAATTAATGAATACTGTCCTTTTTAAGTGTTGCGCTATTTATGCATCAGCTTCCACAAGGCTCACATAATACAGTACTTAATAGTGGTTGTATTATTCATCATTTTGTACGTTCATTTAGTGGTTGTATTATTCATACACGGTATTCATTATAGTTAGTGGTTGTATTATTTAGTTGTTGTTGCCATCTTTTTGGGCACTAGGATACAGAGCGGTCGAGTTCGAGGGAGACAATCAAAATGTAATACGCCAAATCAATGGCTCTGATTTGAACCCAAGGCTCCACCATTTCCTAACCACGATATGGGGATGGCGAGATAAGTTTCCAAAGGCAAAGTTCTTATTCAAGCATCGTCAGCAAAACCAGTGTGCGGATCTACTAGCAAAAACCATTAGAACTTCTCCAAACCAATGGTGTTTGTACCATTCATGTTCAATGTTTCTTACTACAGCTGTAAACAATGATCTTTGATAAGTATTAATAAAACGTCTTTGGAAAAAAAAAATATATATATTGTTGCTGTCGTTGTATGTTCATTTAGTATAGAGTAATTAATGCTGACTTTGTATGTTCATATAGTGGTTAATTGTAATATTCATCATTTTTTCTAATTGTCCTGTCATCGTCAGTAGTACTGTATCTATTGATTGGTCGTATATAAAGAAATTTATATCAGTAAAATTCTAAGATAATTGAATTTAAAAAGGAGAAAAAAACATAGTTGAATTTAAAAAAGGTTCGTATTGGCTGCTGCATTATCTTTATTAATTTTCGTATAGTTAGTTAATCCTTTTTACATACGCATTCAATATGTTGCAGTGGCCCATGAAGATGAGATTTGACAAAGGCAAACGGCAAACCAGTCTACGAACTAAGTACTAAGCCAGTGAATGCGTGACATCCCGACCCATCCCATAAATATGCATAGTTGGTCTTCTTATAACGACCCGTAAATAAAAGAATGGTCCACTAACTGATAAATGAAACTTTAAATTTGTAGCCCATTAAAAATATCTCATATATGCATGCGTCACAAAAGAAAAATGTAAATTGTAAAACACAAAACTAGAGAAACCAAAACAGAAAGTTAAAAATACTCAAAAAGATATTCAAATTTTCAAGCTTTTTCTTCTTGATCAAGAAAACATACTTGAGTTGCTTATACGTATGGAAACAACAACAGATTCATAGACAACAAAAGAAAGAAAGAAAGAACATTAATAAGTTTAGGTAGAGCCGTAGAGGAAGAGCCTCCACCTTTGGAAGAGGAAGTGATACCTCTGCAACCAGCACCTTCATGCCATTCAAGCATGATCTCAATCTCGCCGCATTCGACATTGTTAAGTCTAAGGATCATGTCTTGCGTAATCTTAATTACCATTGTTCCAAACAATGCTACTCTCATCTGATAAACAGTTGTGCCTTAGAGGTTGAGCCCTCTTGATAGCACATCCATTAGGTAGCCTCAAAAGCTCCATCCCCATTTTCAAAGCCTCCAGGTATGGTTGAATGTCAATGTTTGCATCTCCCATTTTGTCATCTCCTGTGAACTTGTCCCAATCAAACATTGTCTGAACAATTTCAATAAACAACAACAATAATGTTATCCCTAAAACCAGAACAGAACTTTTTTTTTAGTGTTAGTAACATTGTGATCTTTGATAGCAACAGTCATTTCTTCATTCCATACTAGGTTACAATTTCTTTTCACCACACGTGTCCACACGTGACACGTGTCTTCAATGTCTGAAGTTTTCGATAAGAAGGGAGTGATTTGGCGCCAGGTAATTGCGATGTTGAAGCAGTCTTTTTGGGGGCCTACTTCATCCTTCTATCTTTAGTTGTCTAGAGTCTCGGGGAAGATCATAAGTTCATAACCATTGTGAGATGGTAGAAAAAGGCTTATGCATTGTCACTGTGGGCACTCGTGAACTCCCAGCCATTTATTGTAACTCAGGTTTTTTATTGAATATAATTTTACATTGGTATAGAATAAAAAAAGTAATTACTTTTAAATCAATGGGAAATCTGTAAATACTTGGAACGTTATAAGTTATAACCCTTAAAGTCAATGAGCTTTCCAAACAAAGTCCATCTATCGGGAAAAAAGCCTTTTTCAACCTCTTGCAGGCGGGTTTTTCCAATCCAAACTATGACCCCTAGTCGATTTCAACCCAAACCCAAAAATAATTCAAAATCGAAACCTGAACTAATGCAAATGAGCCGATTTCAACACGACGCGAAACAGTGTTAGTTCGAAAGTTAACGGTTGCTCAACCTTGGGTAATTCTCTCTCTACATCATTCATCAAACTTTGAAAATAAAATCAAATAACCTTGAGAACTGTTAACTTTTGAACTAACATTGTTTTGCGTCGTGTTGAAATCGGCTCATTTACATTAGTTTAGGTTTTGATTTAGAATTATTTTTGGGTTTGGGTTGAAATCGACTGGGAGTCATAGTTTGGGTTGGAAAAGCCCGCCAGCAAATAGTTGAGGTTGAAAAAGACCGTTTTCCCGTCCATCTATCATACCAAAGTAACAAAGGTTCCCATTACCAATCTTACAAGAAATGAAATCATGAGACATGAGCCATCAGTCTTAGCTTTATAGTTTGCACCATATATAGGAATCGTGAGTCGTCGTGACTGTCCTCAGCTAGGGGCCTTAGTGATTTCCTTCCAGAATGAAAGTCACCGTTCGCAGGCAATCTATACCGTATCTTCATCTGGTGGACTTTTTCAGTGCCGGCTCAACATTTTTATGGGCCCTAGGGCAAAAAAAAAAAATTGGATTCTTAGAAATTTTTTTTAATGTTTTTTTGCTGTAAAAAAATTTTATATGCTATTTTTGTTAAAAATATTAATTACTAATACTAAAAACAATAAATAAAAAATTTTATAGACCTTTCTAAATTTTATTTTTATGTTATAATCTAACTTTTTAATATTTTTTAAAAAATATTTTAGAAAATGGACCCTTTAATTATTGGACTACGGAATTGGACCCCTGGCCATCGCACCGCCCGCCCACCCATCTGAGCCGGCACTGGACTTTTCGGCATTCAAGGAACACATCATATGATTTGTTTAAGGTTATATTTATCTTTTTTTAAAAAAATTGATAGGTGACGAGGGCAGTGATGTATGCATTTGTCAACTCTAATCCTTATCATTGCTTCACTATATGCACTAGATTGTATACCCGCGCATTGCGCGGGATTTTACTTTAAAACGTTTAATTAATGCGAATCCTTGAATATAATATTATAAATAGATTCATTTGAATTTTAATAAATTTTATTTTATTTATGTGTATTATCTTTTCAAAGTAGTAAAAAATTTCTCACTTTTGACTACAATTTCTCTCTTTTATCCTTTGATGTATGTAAAAGTTCTTTATCGATGACAAATCTGAGATATAGACTCATTTCTATTCAAAAACATTGGATTTCAACGTCAACTTTTACAATTTATCTTGACTGTTTGAAAAATACAATTTTTTTTTTTTACAAATATAATTTGACGTATATTTTGATGCTAAATAGTATTCTTAATGTTGATTTTCCTAAAATATGTAACATACGAACTCCTAATTCTAATTTTAAAATACGTTTTAAAATAAAATATATTGGAACGAATTGCACAATCGTTGCCTCGATTCTCGAGCTTTTCTCTCCCTTGAAAGCTTTTTTTTCAGATCTCCGTTTTTACGTTTTGCTTGATCTTAATTGTTGCTATTGAGACTTCTAGTTTATGGTCCAGGAGTTAGTAAGGACGCTTCTCCGACTGCGGCGGTGTGGATTTTGCCACCGATGTAGCCGCTGCTCTGGTTTTAACGGAGGTGGTGAATCGAGGTCGTGGTTCGCGATTGAGGACGCCGTGAAGTGCTTCGAGGATCCCCACGGCTCAACCGTTTTTCCTGTAGTGGAGGCTATGGCGGAAGTTGGTGGCGATATGGTGGGTTTCGCGGTTTTGACGCGGTGGTTAACGGCAGCTCCTCTGGATTTGCTTGGCTCACGCGGAGTTCGTCTTCAGAGGTTTGGGTGAGCCACCACCCTCTGGATTCGCCGTGTTTGGTGTTCACCGGTCCGGTCGAGGCGTTCTTGCTTGGTCTAATCGGAGAGATCTGGAAGTGGAGGGAAGGGGATAGATCTATGGGTCGGATTGCTAGGTCGGGATCTGACTCCGTAGTAGCGGTTGTCGCGGTGGCTAGCTTTTCGGGAGATAAGTGGCGGATCTGGTGCGTCGGTGGTGAGAGAACGTGGTTGGAATTTGGACCCTTCCCGTTGTGTTCTTCGATCTGTCGAGGCTGCCGTGAAGCTGGGTATCTTGGGTTCACCGGATCTAATGCTCCGGCCACCGTGCAGTCGTCCATCAGCAGGGTCCGAGCTTTCTGTTTCGTTTCCGACATCTCTCTTGTTGGGCTATTTTGTACCTGGGCCATTGACTTGTAAGGCTTTTTATGCCAAGCCCTTTCGGGAAGTTATTATAAATTAATATATTTAAAAAAAAAAAAATATATTTCTTATTATTTCTAATTAAAAACTCTTCTATCTACCATTATTATTATAGTTCAAATAGCATCCTCAAATATTATTATTACATATTTTTATTATTTGATTAGATTGTTCTATTTTTATTTGTGATGTTTATAATAGGTTTTTGTTTTATTTCAAATCACCTTATTATTTTTTTAATCTATGTTAATTTCCTAAAATTCCAGTATATTTTTTTTTCAGATATTCATTTGTTTTTTTTAGAACCTAATTTAGAAAAAATTAGTAAACTATAATTATAAATAATAATATTTTTTGTTAATATTTTATTTATTTTTTGTAAATTATTATTTTTATTTAGTGAAAGATAATAATAAAAAGTGTGTGAATTGATTTTAGTTTTAATGTTTTTTGTTATAATAAATAAGTTATGTGGAACCTACAAAAAAAAATTATCATGTCATGAATGGTGAGGTGGACACCTTAAGAGGAGAGACACCTCTCTAATTATATATATAGATTTTGTCAAACCTATCCTTATCATTGCTTCATTATATGCATTTTGTCAAACCTATCCTTATCATTATAACAAAAAAAAAATAACATTTTATGATAAGAACTTGGAAAACGTGAATACGACTCATTCTAAATATATTAGCAGTAGATATCGAATAAGTATATATTAACCTGGCTCACATATTTTACGTTTAAACCGTTACACACTCTTTATAAACGAAGGAAGACCACACGTGAAAATAGTCATCAACCAAAGTAAAAAAGCGCACACAGACACATTTCACTCACGAAGAGATGGCGACATCGGGAACATATGTGACGGAGGTTCCATTGAAAGGATCGGCGGAGAAACACTACAAGCGGTGGAGGGATGAGAACCACCTCTTCCCCGATGCCATCGGCCACCACATCCAAGGCGTCACCGTCCACGATGGCGAATGGGACTCTCATGAAGCCATCAAGATTTGGAACCACATGCGGTAAATATACATTTACTTTAACATAACCCATAAATGTATACTTACTTTAATAGTATTGTCAGGTTACGATGATTATCTATTGACGATAGGATCGTATCTACGTCATACTCCTAGTCATATTGTGATAAAGTTTATGAGTCAACATTTTCTTGCTAGGCGCTAGGTCCACCCTCACCGTCCGATTAGCACCTAGCGATTTTTTTAACACGGGTCACATGTAGATAGAGAATCCAGAGAGAATATTATTAAATAGTTGAATTCTGTTTTTTTACCGGTAAATGGTAAATCTTTACCAAAAAATCAACTAATTTTCGAAGTCTACAAAATATGTGTGCATGAATCTCTTTACCTTGAAATTTAAGTGTAGACTGTGTAGTGTATACATAAATAGAAACACATACATGGTGCTAACTTCATGAATGAAACACACATGTACGTATATATATATGTGCAGACGGGAAACAGGAAGTGTTCAAGGAAAGGAAAGAGATAGACGATGAGAATATGGTGATTACGTTCAGAGGACTAGAAGGTCACGTCATGGAGCAGCTTAAAGTGTATGATATCATATATCAGTTCAGCCAAAAGTCGCCCGATGATATCGTATGCAAGATCACAATGATTTGGGAGAAACGAACCGATGATTCGCCCGAGCCCAGCAACTCCATGAAGTTCCTCAAGAGCGTTATTGTTGACATGGACGACCACGTTGTCAAAGCCTAAATCCATTTCGAACCATCGTCATCACCTATCATCATCATCATCATATATGGCTCCTCTGTGTGTACATCATTTAAATTATGAGTATGGCAACCTCTCCTTTTGTGCATGGTTAATTAATTATTAAAATGTTTGTTTGACGTCCAAAAAAAAATAATAATAATAATGAATCCGTCTAAATTTAACATAGAATCGTCGTTTTTCTTTTAAATTCGAATATGATATATATGGAACCAAATATTTTTTAAAATCAATAGTTCAAAAATATGTTTTCAGCATATAAATGGATTTTACCATGTTAATAATAATAAGAAGTATACTGATTTTCAAATGGCATAGGTTACAAACTTACAAATATTATCACAATGAATGTTATTTTTAAAACCCTCCGTTTAGATTTTAGAAAGTAAATTGTGGTCCAACTGAAATATCTCATCCGTGCGTCAACAAAAGAAGAAAATTAAAAATCTAAAAACAGAATTACTCAAAAACAATTCAAATGAACAGATACAAAAGTCTCTAATTCTCCAAATGTTTTTCTTGATCATGCCATTGAAATGGCCATCAAGAAAACATACTTAATTGCTTATACAGATCGAAACAACAAAGAATCATTCACGACAGAAAAAAAAATAAAAAAGACCAAAGAAAATGGCCATATATAAAACAGTCCACTAAGTGATAAAGTAAATGAAAATTTAAAAATGTTAGCTCATCTGAAATATCTCATACATGCGGCGTCATAAAAGAAAATGCAAATTGCAAAGCATAAAACAACAACAAAACTAGAGAATCCAAAACCGAAAGCGAAAACTCAAAAAAGATATTCAAATGAACACATACAAAAGTCTCAAATATTAATCTTGATCATGCCATTGAAATGATCATCAAGGAAAACATACTTGAGTTGCTTATACAGATGGAAACAACAACAGATTAATCATACACAACAACAAAAGAAAGAAAGAAAGAAAGAAAGAACAATAATAAGTTCAGGTAGAGGAAGAGCCACCTTTGGTAGAGGAAGAAGTGATACCTCTACAACCAGCACCTTCATGCCATTCAAGCATGATCTCAATCTCGCCGCATTCGACATTGTTAAGTCTAAGGATCATGTCTTGCGTAATCTTACCATTGTTCCAAACAATGCTACTTTCATCTGATAAACAATTGTGCCTTGATGGTTGAACCCTTTTGATAGCACATCCATTAGGTAGCCTCAAAAGCTCCATCCCCATTTTCAGAGCCTCCAAGTATGGTTGGATGTCAATGTTTGCATCTCCCATTTTGTCATCTCCTGTGAACTTGTCCCAATCAAACACTGTCTGAACCATTTCAATGAACAATAATGTTATCCTTAGGAACAGAACATAACTAGATTTGTCTTTTGTCTGAATCAGAAAAAGGAGAATTGTTTTTTTTTTTTTTTTTTGAGTGTTACCAAGCGGATTGGGACATTGGGATCTTTGATAGCAACAGTCATTTCTTCATTCCATACTGGGTTACAATTTCTTTTCACCACACGTGTCTTCAATGTCTGAAGATTTCATTTTTTGTTTTTGTGTTAAAAAAAAAAAAAAAAACAAATCAGAGAAAAGAAACAAACGGATTTATATGAACAATTCTATAACAAAGAATCCTTGTTCGGCGATTTGTTCCCTATCGATTTCAAAAATTTCCAGGAGAATTGAGACAAAAGGAAAAAAAGATGGAACCTGATCGGCGACGGTGAGAACGATGTAAGGATCGCTGCTGCGATGGTCGCGAATGGCGAGATTAATCCCTCGTTTGATGTGGATCGTGAGCAAGCCAAGAGGTTTCTGATCCATTGATTGATTGGGGAAGAAAGCTTTTGACTAGGTCTCTGCTGGAGATATGGTAAAGGAGGAGGAAAGAAGAAATTTAAAAAGAATTGAGGATGATAACGATTTGAATTGGTGCTTGCTTTCTCGTCCCCAACTATTCAACACGTTCTCTCTCCCAATTGCTCGAATTATATATACCATTTTGTCAAATGATTTTTGCTAATTTGTTGATTATAATATACTTAAATTAAATTTATTCACACTATTCAAAAAATATAATTAGGACTCAAGAGACTAATCTAGTATGGGTCTACTTAGGCATGGGCTTTCGGTTAACCGTTCGGTTATCGGTTGGGTCTATTCGGTTTTGGTTCTTTCGGTTTCAAAATTTAGTATCCATTCGGATATTTTGAAATTTCGGTTCGGTTTCGGTTTGGTTTTGGTTCTTTCGGTTTTAAAATTTAGTATCCATTCGGTTATTTTGCTTAGGATATTTCGGTTATTTTTGAATATTTTCGGATATATTTAGGATATTTTCGAGTATTTTTACTATTTTTATATATTTTTCAAGTATTTTTGATTATTTGATCTATAAATAACTAATTATTTTGAAAATATAATTGTATTTCGGGTATTTCGGTTACCCGAAATATTTCGGTTCGGTACCGATTCGATTACGGTTATTTCGGTTATAGAATTTAGTATCCATTCGGTTATTTTCAAATTTTCGGTTCGGTTTTTTTTGCTTCGGTTTCGGTTCGGTACATTTGGTTTGGTTTTTTTCGGTTCAAATTTTCGGTTCGGTTCGGTTTTTTTTGCTTCGGTTTCGGTGGTGGTGGTGATGAATGAGAGAGAGAGAGATAAGGTCTACTTTTCAACCTTAACAAAACCATATCAATGGGCTTGAGAACTTTCTCGCAAGAGACTAATCTAATATGGGTCTACTTTGCAACGATGGTGGTGGTATAACACAACCAACTTGTATAATAAAATCACAATAATGGGCTTGAGTACTTGATTAACGGGCCCATTTTAAAGATTTTGCGTTTAAGAATAACAAACAGAGAGTGGAGAGACGGTTTCGGTGCTTGAAAGGGTTGGCCTTTGCTTGCGGATGAAGAATCGGGTCAACCATTCTCATCCTTCCTCTCCATCAAAACCCTAGTTTCCATATTATATCTCCAATCTCATTCTTATATAACACCATTCCTTGATCTCTCTCTCTCTCTCTCTCTCTCTCTCTCACTCATCACCACCACCACCATCAAGCCCTAGTTTCGTTTCTTTGATCATCGTAGATCATTCTTGTGCAGGTCGTCTTGAATGGTAGAAACAACTCTGATCACCCGAGAATTTATGCTCTCCCATTGCACAACCGCAAGGGCGAGCTTTCTCCTCCGTTTCTCCGCCGCATCTTCTTTCAAATTTGGCTTCTCCAAGGAAGGCTGGTACTACCGCTGCATCGGCGTTGACCCTTGAAATCTCATCACTGTTCTTTTTTATTACCCTTTGCTGATTTTGAAAATTTGATAAAGATGTTGTACAACAACAAGCATAAGAAAAACCAGAAATCGAAGACTACGAACAGGTTCCTTGTTAGCATCACTGTCTTAGGAAGTGCTGGTCCGATTCGTTTTGTTGTCAAAGAAGATGAAACTGTAGCCAATGTCATAGACTATGCTCTAAAATGCTATGCTCGTGAAGGCAGGCTTCCACTTCTCGGATCAGATTCCAGCTTTTTCCTACTTTATTGTCCTTACTCTGCCTCTGAAGGTATCTACAGTTTCCTCTATGAATATGTGACTTGTTAGTTTTACTATATGATTAATGTTTTTGATTCCCTTATGTAGCATTCGATCCATGGGGGAAAATCGGGTCAACCGGATCAAGGAACTTTGTGTTGTCTAAGAAGTTAGAGACTCAAAAAATTGAAGACTCTGTGATGACAACAACAATCCGGAAGACCTCTGGGAGATGGAAGGCTTGGCTCAACAAGTCTCTTGGCCTTATGGTTCCTTCTCATTGAGATGATGCTTTGAAAGCTTTTTTCTTTTCGATTTCTGGAGTTCTGTTTTGGTTTTGTTGTCAGTGGAATATGCATCACAACATTTTTGTTTCGGTTTTTGTTGTAGATTGTCTCACAGTTATATGGATTGAGATTCGTTAGCATAATTGTTTCATGTTTTCCATAGCTTCAGGGTTTGAACCAACAATACAAAGTCTCAGTAGTATTTTCTGGTAATCACAAACTAACTATGCAAATGTAAGAATCTGATCTCTGTCAATCATGTAGTGTATCTTCTTCGCTGGCTTGATTTCGCGGGATGTCCATTCTCGTCATTTCTTGTTGGACTTGTTGATTCAGATCCTGAAGCATCTCTGCTTGTTCATAATCACCTCTCACTTGTTTCCATGATCGCTGTTTCGCAGCAGAACGAGGTGGTCCAAGTACATTACTCAGTATTTTGTGAACTTGTTCTATGATACTCTCAAGCAGTCGTATTCTAGTTGAAATCTGCTTCAAAATGGTCTCAGCATCAGATTATTGAGATGCTTCAGCTCTCTCAACATTTTGAACAGTTGCTGTTGCTAAAAGAAGACAAAGACAATAGATGCTGTTAGGAAAACAAAAACAAACACAGGATGAGAAACAGATGAAAAAAGAGACAAGTTTGATTACAGGGAGAACATGGAGCTTGTTGCGGCTTTTCTTGTTTCACTTTCTTTCGAGCCTTGGACCGCCTCGCTTTACTTGAAACCTTTTGTCCACAGGATTTTGGGCATCACCAGCATTAGTAGTAGCAGATTCTTGAGACACTTGTGATGATGCATCATTTGGAGCAGTCTCTGTCACTAACAGAAGCAAAGACAATGTCAACAAATACAGATTCTTTAGGTTTTAGGAACACGCAATGAGAAACTCAGTGAACAAGGAAAAGTTATTTACAGCAACGAATAGGATATATTGGACGTTGTTGTTGTTTCTCTTCCGCCTTTCGAGCCTTTAAACGCTTTGCTCTAGGTTTGTTATCTGATTTTGTGAAGCTTGTACTTGCCTCTGCTAAATCTTCTAAAGCTACACAACAATAACATAGAGATTCAAACAAGAAGAACTCAAAATCGATTCTGATTATTCGTTTTGCAGGACTTACAAGTTTCAATCTCAACATTTGATTGTCTTGTTTGAGCATGCGACGTTACTTCTTCACCTGTCCCAAGACAGCAAACAAATGAAACTTGGGTGAGAAGAAAAAAAAAGGTTTCTTGGTTTCTGTTATAGCTTACTTGGTGCATTCCGAATATTCTCACAATGTCTTTTGAAACAGCTGAAGAAATGTGGATTTGCTTTTTCAAGAAGATACCAAACTACAACATAAAAGATTCGATTCTTCAAGGTTTTGTCTCAGACCCATTGATGATCCGGTAAAAAAAAGAGTTGCGTAGAAATTTACTTAATCTGGTAAATTTATGTGGGACTCCAAATGTATCGAATATAAAATTCGCAGTTTCTTCCTTGCCCATGTAGTCTTGTATGCATTACTCGATTCTATAGTGAACCTGAAAACAGAGCAAATAAAGAAGAGAGAAATTGTAATGTGATATTTGGATCTTTCAGATTAAAAGAGATTTTGATATAAGATTGAATCTTACGAAATCGGTGATATCGTTAGAGATTTCAGAACCCTTCGCAAGATCTAAAACATGCGGACTCATTTCCTGAAAACTTTCTCTGATTTTCACAGATCAAGAAACCTCTCTGCGATCTTTTCTGCGGTTTGAACAACGATCCAATCTTTAGCTTTCTTTGAATCTGAAATGGAGATTTTTGAGAAGGAAAATTCTGATAAGAGTTAGTCAAAAGGGTTTAACGGAAACAAGATAGAGAAACAAAATGAGAGCGGGACTTTCTTATATTGATTGATTGATTATTTATGGACTTTCTTATAAAAACTTTTATTGACTGTTGACTGTTATTTTGAGCTTTTTAAGCATCGGCCCATTTATTATTATTGGGCCGGGAAATTATTGCACAACAACATAATAAAATCGAATACTACCTCTGTTTGAATTTATATGTATTTTAAGGTTTTTGCACATAAATTAAAAAATATCATTAAATACGACTAATTCAACTAATAAAAAATATACTGTAAAATATAATTGGTCATATATATGAAATACATTTAATTTTTGCATAGAAAATTTAAAACAACACTTATTTTGCAACAAATATAAAATCTCTTAAACTACAACTAAAATGAAACAGAGGAGTATATATTAAGATGCTCACTTCTCTATCTCTAAATTTTTTCGACTCTTTTTTTCTTCAAAAAAATATAATTTTGGGAGTATAGAAATATAACATAAGAAAATACATACACACATTATAAACAAGTTAAATAATATGTAATAAAAAACAAGTTAAATAATATGTTATAAAAAACAAGTTAAATAATATGTTATAAAAAACAACTTAAGTATATGTATATTTTGGAGAAACAATATTTGGAAATTTTCTAGAAAAAATGATATTTACTTTGCAAAATACTTTTATGAAATTTTTAATACTTTTATATATAGTCAATGATTTGAATCATTTCAATGCGTAGATCTTTGCAGTGCGCAGTCAGTTCAAAATCCGTAAATTATTTTTTATCTCCTACAATAAGCAATACTTTTCTAGGAAGTCCACTCTCTATAGTTTCCCGTAATATAAGATCAGCCACCTTTAAACCCTCTGTTTCAAGAAATATCACTTAGAAATTCAATTTTTAACATAAACAATATAATAAAGAAAATCTATAGTTCTATACTATATACTTACCCTTCCCAACAAATGTCAATTTCACTCTACTATCACGATTGTCACGACCTCTTTTAACATGTTTTGAAAGATTCCTGTCAACATAACCTATAGCTCTGATGCCGACATCACCAACGTAGCCAAAGTTTTGGATTTCACGTATGATCCTTTGATCAATATGCAATATGTATTTTTCTTTCAAGACAAAGGAAACCCTTTGGTTTTCAATCTCCATTTTGTAAACATTCTAGCCAATTGATGCCGCCTCATCGTAGTGCAAGTGAAATTTACATTGAATTTTCTTTTGAAAGACTAAAATGTGTTTTAATAAAAATCAAAATTAGTACATTTCTATTTCACATTGAAGAAACTAAAAGTGAAATACCAAATTCATCAAACAAGTTTCTAATTCTAATATGCGGAATATGGGAGACCTTATGGGCACGACGTGCCTTACGACGAGATAATGTTGTTTGTTGCCTTTTACAATGTATTGTCTTTGTTATATACATGAACATGATACGATCAAACCACAAAAACATCGGATAAATTTACATTTTCATCGTTCATTATTATTATTAATTGTGTAATTATCGATGTACAAAACGATCAAAGATCGTCGATTAGAAGACTCGCTTCAGTTTTGGTTTGCTACCAGAAGTTCTTTGTAGTTTTCTCCATATTAGATAATCAAAAACTCTATTCAAATATACATTTGATGTAAAAAAAGATTTTTGGTTTGAATAAATTTTACATTGAATTTAAAAAAAAAAAAAAAATTATCGATGTATATTTTGAATGATATATTTTTCTTGTATTTTCCATCTCGATGGATGGGTCTACTTTTCAACGTCAGTGAACTATTACGACCACCAACTTGTAATAAATGATAATGGGCTTGAGGACTACACAAACGTAACGGGCCTCATTTTTAATAAAGATGTTGAATGAGAGTGGTGGTGGAGAGAGAGACGGTTTCGGTGGCTTGAAAGGGTTTGCTTTGCTTGCGGATGAAGAATCGGGTCAACCATTCTCGTCCTTTCTCTCCATCAAACCCTAATTTATTTCCATACCCCAATCTCATCATCATATATATAATAATACTTCTTCCTCCCTTAATCTCACTCATCACCTCAAAACTTTCTGTTTGAATGGTAGAAACAGCTCCGATCACCAAAGAATTTATGCTCTCCCATTGCACCACCGCAAGGGCGAGCTTTCTCCTCCGTCGTCTCTCCGCTGCATCTTCTTTCAAATTTGGCTTTTGCAAGGAAGGCTGGTGCTACCGTTGCATCGGCGTCGACCCTTGAACTCCCATCACTGTTTTTTTATTCTCCTTTTCTGATTTTGTTATAAAGATGTTGTTGTACAACAAGCAAAAGAGAAACCAGAAACTAAAGACTACAAAGAGGTTTCTTGTTAGCATCAATGTCTTAGGAAGTGCTGGTCCGATTCGTTTTGTTGTCAAAGAAGATGAAACTGTAGCCAATGTCATAGATTATGCACTCAAATGCTATGCTCGTGAAGGCAGGCTTCCACTTCTCGGATCAGATTCCAGCTTTTTCCTACTTTACTGCCCGTACTATGCCTCTCAAGGTATCTGATGAGTTTCCTCTATAAACTTGTGACTTGTTAGTTTTACTATGATTAATGTTTTTGACTCTCTTCTGAGCATTTCAGCATTCGATCCATGGGGTAATATCGGGTCAACCGGATCAAGGAACTTTGTTTTGTCTAAGAAATTAGAGACTCAAAACCTTGAAGACTCTGTGATGACAACAACAGCAATCTGGAGGTTGAAGGCCTGGCTCAACAAGTCTCTCGGCCTTATGGTTCCTTCCCATTAAATCATGCTTCCAAAGCTTTTTCTCTTCGATTTCTGGAGCTCTGTTTTGGTTTTGTTGTCAATGGATTTTTGTTGTAGATTAGCCACAAAATAATATGGATTGAGATTTTGGTAGCATATGTAGACTCGTTTCTGCTCTTTCTTAATTGTTTCATGTTTTCCACAGCTTCAGGGTTATTAACTTATTATCTACGATTGCATTTTAAGAACTTACGACTCTCTATTTTAAGAATGGTCTATTTTAATATCTTACGACAATATATAATGGATTCACTTGCTGTAATGATTTGTGCATGTTCTTTTCTTATATTCTTTCTGCTTACGGCTGTAGTATCTAACATAATCAGACTATCAAACTCGAAACAAAATAAACCGAACATACAAACGAAACCCACACGACAATAAGGAGTTAACTCTCTCTACTTATCGTCCTCAGTTTTTTTTTTTCTCCTCTCTTAGTTCTTGAAAGCTGGGGTGTTTGCATTGACGTAGCCTCCTACAGGTTGGAAGATAGAACATGTGCAACAGCGGCTAGAACCACAGTAGCAACTAGAACAACAGCAGTAATGGTTGTACCTTTGAGGCTGCTCCTTCCACGAGGGAGTCTCCCAGATATCACTTTGCAGGACTCGTCAGCTTCTTTGTAAAGAGAAGCCTCAGTGATGGCTTTTTTGTTCTAAAAACATCACATGTTAGGTCAGAGATGAGATTACAACTGAGTGGAGGGTGAAATTAGTTAGCTTAGAAGAATAAGAGGTATTACCTTTAGCATGAAGCTCTTCATAGTTTGACTAAGAGTGAGAGTATCACTCGGTGGTGATAATAATTTGAGGGAATGATCGTTCCACTCGTCTACAAGCTTTTTAAGAAGAGCAACACTAACTCCTAGATTCTCCTTATAGACATTGTCCCAGTGCTTCCAGCAATTAATGTTTTCGGTCAGAGACCAGATTGCGATTGATGTAGCTTCCTTGGCTAAAACAGGATTTCCTGTAACTGTAACACATTAGAACTCTATTTGGAGAAGAGAGAGGGAAGCAGAAAACTCAAGGATTCAAGGTTTGGTTTGTTACTCATACCTTCTTTAGCTAATTTCAAAGACAAAGTGAATATCTTTTGAGTGACTTGTTTCATTGCCTTGCTTCCTGGTGAACCGGTAAGAGTACATTTACTCGGTGATGGTGATAGTTTGAGGAAATGAGCTTCACACTTCTCTACAAGCTTTTTAAGAAGAGCAACACAAGCTTTTAGATTCTCCTCATCGAGATTGTCCCAGTGCTTCCAGTAATCAAAGATTTTGGTCAGAGACCAGATAGCAATTGATGTAGCTTGCTGGGGTAAAACAGGATTTCCTGCAACAATGGTAACAAATGAGAACTCTATTTGGAAAAGAGAGAGAGGGAAGCAGCAGAAATCTCAAAGATTCAAGGTTTGGATTGTTACTAATACCTTCTCCAGCTAATTTCAAAGAAAAAGTGAATATCTGTTGAATCATTGCCTTGCTTCCTAGTGTATTGTCCTTGCATTTTCCTAGAAGCTTTCTAAGAAGAGTAATACTCTCTCTTAGATTCTCCTTGTAGATATTCTCCCAGTGCTTCCAGCAATCAACCATTTCAGTGAGAGACCGGATAGCGATTGCGGTAGCTTCCTTTACTAAAGCTGGATTCCCTGCAACAACAGTTACAGATTACTACTCTATTGGACAAGAGAGAGGGAAAGAGAAAAGTCTATTTGAATTCAAGGTTTGGTTTGTTACTAATTAATTAATACCTTCTTCTCCAGATAATTTCAAAGAAAAAGTGAATATCTGTTTTATTGCCTCGTTTCCTGATGTACTGGCAAGAGCCACTTCCTTTAACAAGGGATAAATTGCCTCAAACCTACTTGTAGCCTGTGGGCATACGCTTGTGATCAGAATCCACAAAACGCAACAAGGTTTTGTTTCTATAGAATTCCAATACCTCTTCTCTTTCGGATGTGACAGGGAATGTAAGCCACAGCAAGGCCTCAAATATATGAGGTGGAATCAGTCGCCTTCCATCCCAAACAGGAGCATTTACAAGTATGGTTTGAGCGTCTGGTTTCGCCAGAATTCTGATTGCATGAACATACAAGATCAGATGATTGTATATATATGGCAACTTAAGGAAATCACAAGAAAACTTTGAACTTACTTCTCAACCAACTTTAGGATGGGATCCGTTGACTCAGGAATTCTAGGGACTAGTGGTAACAAGCTATGCACCCATGAATACAAGCCTACAGGTAAATTATCTTGGGAGGCCTGTCCACATTATACAGTTGAACAGCATTCAGAATACATATCACACAAATATTTCAACATACACTCTCGGTTGTTGTTCACATAATTAAAGGATCACACGAACCTGATCTACCAACCAAATTGTAAGCGGAATCCGGCCAGGTCCATGAAAATAACGCTTGATCCACAGAGAGGGCATAACCCTAGTCAAGACAAGAGGATCGCTACGCACAAGCATTGCTAATGTAACAAATATTGACACCTAAATCGTAAAACAAATATAATAGTGCAAACAAAGGTAAGTAGATACACGATTCAATAACATCACACAGACATAAGTGAAAGCGATAGGATAGTTTACCTCAGATACGCAAGGATCACCTGGTTTACCATATCCTAGAGGTATAGCTTCATCATGAAAAACTCCTCCTCGTTGTATATACAAATCACAGAGAATATAATTAAACGACCACAAGACAAAGTCACAGCGTAACTCCGTCGATGGAACTCCAATAGAGTGATGTTTTGTAGACAGGTTCAGGAATATAAGATAACGGAACCTGTTTATAAAAAAGATATATACATACAAAAATCATGACCTAGAGAAATTGGATTGACAAAAACGTCGTAAACGAAAGAGTTGCTCACATGGAGCACATCGAACAGGTTGGGCAAATCAGACTCCTGGAGCATCTGACGCCATGGACAAGGTACTCCGGAAAGTGCAACCTCATAGTAATCGAGAAATCTCACTAGCTGAAAACTCGCCACAAGCGGATACGTGTCCTAAATAATATATTAACAAACAAAAAAATGAAATTTGATTTGTGGGTTTTATCGATTTAAGATCGCATGCACGTACCGGTACTCGGTCGAGGAAATCCGCAAGATCTGAAGGACCGATCTTTGCCGCAGCTTTGGCAAGAGACAATTTCCAATCCGGTTTTTCTTCTTCCTCCGCCTTCAGATTCGATTCATCCACCACATCACCAGCTTGCTCCTCGCTGTAATCTAGGTTTTCATTCGCCGCCGCACCGTTCGAGTTATCGTTATTAGCTAGGTTTCCATTGGCCGCCTGATCCTCCGGTTTTTGCTTCCGGGACACTACTTTCTTCCAACCATGCTCGTCGACGCCATTGTACTCCACAGAATCGATCATCGGATCTCGGGAATATTTTTCTGATTTAAGTGTTTTTCTTAAATATTTTGTTACTCCCGGTTGAGTTTCTATTTGAACCGGTTTAGTTTAAGGTCTTGTTGGTTTGAGTTATGGTTTTCTTTTCTATTATCTACTTAACATTTTTGAAGTACAAATTTGCTATTTTAAATCGGGTCGGGTTTTAATTAATTTTGACCCGGAAATCTTTGATTCGGATCCTTCCATATTTGTTTTTTGACCCAATTTTTTTTTGAATCGGATCATTCCTTATTAATAATCCCTACATTAAATCCAAACGACATTTAATCCCTGATTTTTCAAGATATGGAACGTATATGTAGTTATAACAAATTGATATTCACAAAGAAAATTGTTTCCTATTTAATGCTACATATTTGATTAGATTACGTCAATTAACAATAAATCAATATTTGACAATCAAAATTTTTCCTATTAAAATGTGGATTAAAGATTGCATTCTAACAAATAAAGATTTACAAACTTAATCTTAACAATATTCATCATATAAAAATGTTATTGTTTCCTATAAATATGGTTTCACCATTTAGAAGAAATTGAAAAGATGCTATATCAAACAATCACACTCATATTCGATGGTATATGCTAGCATATTCTTTAACTTATTGCTAAATCCTACTTAACTATTTTGGAAAATGCATTAATTTGCAAATATTTTCTACTTGCTCACCAAGATTTTCTCTTTTCACTTGAAGAAAACCCTACCTTCATCTCTAAACACTATAAATACAACCTCACTCGCAATATCTAACTCACCACACACTTTAGACTCTCTTCTATAGCAAACGCAGTCACAGTCAAAAGTGTTCTAAATCAATAACCGGTATGGTTCTTCTTTGTGCTCCCTCTGCGAATTAAGTGGCAGTATCAATATCTAAGAAGCACATAATAAGAACTATACCATTCGTATATAGCATAGACCCATGTAATTTACTAGGATTATAATTGTTAATTTCTTTGTTATATGTTTTCTTTTTCTTTTGTGTATATATTGTGTGTATAGAGTTCTTTTTTTATGTTAATGACAAGTATTGACCCCGAAAAAAGGTAAACGTTATCTAATCGAATTCTTTTTTATATCAAAGTTAGTTACTACTTACTACTATATTTTTTTTCTTAAAGAGCTGTACAAATTCTTTCACCAAAAAAAGTAATATCGACTAATAAATATAAAGAGTATCCAGAAAAAGAAAAGCTTATGGTACGATGTATGAAATGTTACCATTTTATTTTATTAGTCCAGATCTCATATGTTTAATGTTTTTAAAGTGTATCTGATTTTTTTTGTATAACTAAAGTCAATAAATCAACGATTAATATTGCCCACAACAGAGACATAGCCAATATACAGAATTAAGAGATTCGAGCAGCCTCTCTTTATACATATAATTAACACCTTACTTTTCAAACATTTAATCTACATTAACATTTTTGAAGTACATTTGGCAAAAAAAACCTTTGGTCTTTGAAAGTATTTGCTCAAAATGCCATTGATGGATCAAAATTGAAATCGGATCACAAATTTCCAAAAAACTTTAATAGATATTCACACCAACAATTACCATTGATATCGCTTTCCATAACTAAATACTACGTTCTTGGTAAGCTTTTTTTTATTTATCAACTACACATTAATTAATAAATAACTCAATGATTTGTTGCCCAATCTGGAGGGAAAGA